ATGCCCACTAAACCTGTCCTCGAGCACCATCTGATGGGGAAAGTCATGTATTGACTGGGGACGCGTTTTTCACTTGGTCAGGAAACCACATCTTCAGCAGTGACTGGGAAACTCGCCAAATCCACGTGCAAATATTTTGTTTCCAGATGGACTCCCCGCTGCTGTACATTCTGTAGTATCGATATTTTACTGCCTTGCTGGGGAGGCACGATGCCCAGTTGTCCAGTTTTCAGGATGAAACATTAGAAAATATATAAATTTATATATGACACTGTGGATTAGGTTTTTCTGAGTGTTTCTTTACCCCTTCAGCTGCTGAGAGGCCTATACATTGAAAGTAAATTGGGTAAGAAAGTAGGCATTGCAAGGGCTAGAATGCAGCTAGACATCTGTTTCAAACAGATACTTGAAAGAGAAAACAAGAAATATTTATCATATGAGATCAAATTTTAACTACTACTTTAGTACCAAGCCCTACTTGGTACTAAAGTGTAATGCAAGCTCCACTGAAACCATGGGTGTTCAACACAGCAGCCTATGCTGCCTAACAATTTAGAAACTTGAGAATACCCTTTTTTGTGGAAGCCACATAGAAATCACATGGAGAAACAAAGTTAAAATCTTAGCCAAAATAACATGCATGCTGTTATTAAGAGTATCTTGGGGTCTCTGGGGCCGAACACGCTGCACCCTACACAGCTTTTTTTAAGGGATGCCAAGCCCACCAATTCCAGACACCAGCAATATGAGGAAGGTGTCTTACACCTTTCAAGTCAAAGAGTTTCATCTCCCTGTTGGCCTATTTATTAGATGGCCAGCTAAATGAGGAGATAGTTAAAAATAAAATTGAAAAAATGCATGGCAGCTTCACTCTTCTCTGAACATTTAAAGGAACCTTAGCATTTGGGAGTTACTCAGAGTTGGGGCTGAAATGGTCCCTCTTGGATATTGTGCTGAGGCACTTGAGAATCTTCTCCATCAGAAGAGTTCTTGCAGGTGGTAGACAGATCTTCAAATAGGACAATACGATGGGAAACTGGGTTAGCATCATTCCTCTCCCAAGTAGGCAAACACGTGTGGTTTCCATGCAGCACTGATGTGCTTTGGAAGCCTTTTTATCCTGTGACATTTGACAGAATACGAGGGACCAAGACTGCAGGAGGGAAAGTAATATTTACACTCGCTGCTCTGGTGAGTCTCACTGTTTCCTGATATGAAATGGCCTCAGGTTTACATTTATGATTCGTGAGTTACAACAGCACCCGAATTGCCAGAGCTTTTGTTTCAAAATGTTGGGGTTTTTTTTGCTACAAAAAGGTAAAGGCATTTAAAATACCTCAGTTTATTTCATTTGTTTGTGATATCTAAGACCCCTTATTTATTACAAATTTGACAGAATGAAAGAGTAGTTCCTATGATGTAGCACATCTCAAAAATAGTTATTTGATGCTAATATAGGATTAAAAGTAACTGGAAATTTGGCTTAATTTCTCCTTGTAAGTTAACACACGTTTTTAAAAACTTCCCTTTAAAACAAGCTCTACAAACTTACGTGTTTATGAGAAAGAAGTCCAAGCTCCACTCACAAACATTTGATTCTCAAAGTTCAGGCTCCAATATACTCCCTTCCAAGATTCATGGTCAGCTTTTTGTGAATGAATCTTCAAAAGTATAGCAGTAACAGCACAGTCAAGTCTTGGGTTTTCAAATCCCAAAGCAACCAAGCTCTTCAGCACCACTCACCCAGGGGTATTCCACAGCAGCTGTAACCAAATGGGGGCAGGCAGCACCTGAGCGTACCCACAGAGGTTCCTGTCAGCTAAAACATGATGGAATTACAGAGAGCTTGAAGTAATGAGCAAGCCACTTAGTAAGCAATGCTTGTCCTGGCTGGTCGCTGCATCATCTGCTCAATAATCAGCCTGTTCTCAGAAAATGAGAATGGTACTGACCTCTGCAGTGGTGCTGTGGTGAGTAAATTCAGAGAAAAGGAAACAGGACAAGAAACTGAAATCTGCAGGACTGGTATGTTTATAAAGGATCTTTTCAAATGTCTGCAGCATACACCAACATGGGATAAAATCTTAAATTTTGCTTCATCATTTAAAAGCAACAAAATCAGTACGTATCATATGCTATCAGGTTTTACAGAAATAAATTACATTGTATGCACAGCCTCTTCAACATCAGCTGATCATAAAGGTCAGAAGTCATTGTTAAAAAGTGAAAATTTCAAAAGGTAAAAAACAAAAAAAACCAACTCTGCCTACGAGCCCAAGAAAACCAACCCAAAACTGAAGTAACAGCAAGAGAAAAATCTTAATTTGCAGTGATTTGCAGGTAGAAACTTTTTTCTTTATCCATATTCAGATCTCTGTTTTGTTACAGTCTTCAGTTGGATTCAAGAAACTGCTGAGCAGTTCAGTAAAGCCCACTAGACTGTAGCCAAAAATAGCTGCAACTGCTCCTCCCTCAACTTAAAAGGGGGAGTCACATCTCCTCCTCGGGAATGTCATTTATTCATCAGTCTCTGAACTTGCATCCTTATGGCAACACAAGAAACAAGGGATCCACACAGGGTCTCCAGGCACTAGGAGCAGTAGATTTAAGCACTCCATCTCATAACTGGTAAGTTCTGTCAAGCCACTTCTTGCTTGAATCCTTGGCTCCTGTGCCTTTTATGTGAAAAGTAGCCACATTCAAATCATCATTTTAAGGAACATCCTGAAGAAAAAAGCTAAAACATCTGTACTTCATATGGACTTGAACACCTCTTATTTTGTGCTGTGGTTTCAGCAGAGGCAGAGAGAAAAACCACAGCGACAAAATGACAGACGTGGAATGTCACTTCATTTTATTTCTATTCCTTCTAAAAAAAAAAGCATTTAAAAAAATAGTGCAACTTTTCTGTAACTGAGGCTTTACAAAGAAGAAATGTTTCTGCAGCATGTCAGAAACAATTCTGGCCTAGAAGTAAAAAGCTTTTCTCTGTAACATCAGTTGCACGACATCCCTGAGACCACACCCTTCCACAGATTTCTCAATTTGATTATTTATTTTCATTTTTGTTTAGCTTATATGGAGAACTATTTTTCAAAATAAAATATCTGCTAAGGAAAGCACATTTCTCACTTATATATAAACAAAAACAGGGAAGTTTGAAGGTTTTATAAGCAACATTGAGGCAGCTGTAGATGTTGGTATAAAGTGAGTTTTATGTTGTTTACAAAATTCAGCTTTAATCAGTGCAGCAACTTCAAAGGGTAAGTGTTACCTGCTACTTCATACAACCAACCAGTATAGGAAAAATTACTAAGTCTTTCATATATATATATATATAAATTTTTGAGGGTTCTTTCCTACCCTTTTCCTTCACCCCTTGCTACAATTGCAAAACAGAAGTCCCTGACTTAAAGAAGGCTGGTTTTAGGTAAAAATAAATAAAAATCATTTTTAAAAGATAGAAAGAAAGAAAATAGGAAATTTAGGGCAAGAACGTTTTGGGGCATCTACCAAGCAAGCCAAGAGAAGGTAAGGCACTTGAAAATGCCTTAAGTTCCTAGGGAGAAATGAAACACAGATTATTACAACAAGCAACTGAAATCATAGCAATAATAAGACAAGACACTCATTATGTCAATAGAGATCTATACATATTTCCATGGTGCTGCCACTGAAATCGCTGAGGTTTCAACAAGGATTTAAATGATAGCAGGCACAGGAAAAGAAAATAAAAATTAAAAAATTGCACCATTTATGACTCTTCTGAAGCAGCAACATTATTTGCATGGATGTGTTCAAAGAGATAACAACATTGTTTTTAATGAAAAAAAAAAAGCCAACAATTATACATAGTTGACTTTGTACTCTCACCAAGTAATAGTGGGAAAATCAGTGCAGAATACATTTTTTTGTATGTTTCAAATGAAATGCAAACAGTAGTGATTGCCAAATAATATGAGCTTGAACAGTAAATAGCATGGGAGAGTGCTACAACTCTGAGTATAGCTCTGAGAGTAACCAATCACTAGTTAAGCAGTGCAGATAAATGAAGACTAAAATACCAACAAATAAACAGTTTTTCTCTTGTCACTGAAATGTCACTTATACCTCCAGAGATAAGAGACACTGCATTAATCCAGATCCATGAACTACTGCCAGTTGCTCCAGCACACCTTCAACAGTCATTCAAAAAAATTAAGAAACAAATTTATTCTTAAAATGAAGGTAGAAAAATTGCACAGGAAATATTAAAAAAATTATGACAAAGTTGCTCAGTAGAAGTTATTACTAAACAGAAACCACCCGTTTAAGTTTCAATAAAGCTTACATTCAGTCTCAGTTTTAGTCTGAATGATCTGATATTATTCTAAAATTTTCCATTTTAGACCTTCTAAGACATGCAGTTAGCATATACCCAATTCTGTTACCTGGGAAAGACCAGGGGTCGGATGGCTACCCCAAGGTGCCTAATTATACCGTGCAGCAAGTTTGTACTTGACAAAATCACATAAGCAAACACCCTGTTAATTAAGCTACTGTCACGGCAGACAAATGGCAGCAGACCACAGCATAAGAAATTAAGGCAAACAAACTATATTACAAATCCTTCTTCTGATTAAATAATAAAAACTCACCTCAGATTAAATAGTAAGAATCAATTTCTGTCTTTTAACAATATATCAATCTTAACACTGTTTCAAATGTGAGCTACAAGCAGAGTTTGTGTATTTCATGTAATTCTTTTTTTCCCTCCAAAAAGGTTAAAAAAATCTATTAAAAAATCCCAGCCAGTACAATACAGCAACACTTGTCCCTTTCAAAAGTGTTCTAGTGGTACCAGTTAGAATAACATTTGTCTATGGTTAACATCCCTGCAGCAGAAAGATTTACATGTACTTGCCTCCACATGAACATAATGTGTCCTCTTAAAAGATCCTGTTACTACTGTACAAGTCCGGCAGGCATAAGCATAATCCCATTCACTTTGCCTCTCCCATAAGATACATCTATGCAATCCAAATTTGCGTCTATTGATTTTTTAACTTCACATTTCCACGGCTACAGTATTTTCGTTTGTTCGCATTCATTATGAGAATAGCTACTAAAGCTAGTCCAACCCCTAGACTTGGAGGGCCACACGGACTGAACTCCTGAGCAATTCCAGAAAGGAGCGGGGCAAGTATACGTCCCACAGATGTCACAGACTGTCCGACGCCTAGGAGCGTACCGCTGGCCTCATTCCCACCAATGGTCAATTCAAGATCAATGATACAAGTACGACCTATAGTAGTTGAAAAGGCTAAGAATGTGGAAGACAAAACGACCATCCATATGCTCAGTGCTGATGCATACAGGAGAATCAACGTGCAGGTAAACGTGCTGGAGTGCAACAAAATTCTGTAAGTGTTGTGCTGATAGAGTCTTGTTATTGGTCCGAGCAGACAACCAGCCAGGACTCCAAGTGCACTGCTATAGCTCATTAAGTATCCAGCAAACAAGGGTTTCACTCCAAATCTCTCCTCCAAGGCCAGACTAAAATTACTATAGTACAGCAGTATGGCAACAGACATCAGCAACCGCACTAGAAAGATATCCCACAGATCAGAGCATGCAATTTCTTTAATCCTTTTCAGCACCGTTGCAACTTGGATCCAAGGAGACCAGAAAAGACTATTGCTTGCCATAGCTCCCTTAGTTGCTGATTTCAAGTGCAGGTCATGATTTGCTTTTGCTGAGAAACTGTCAGTTCCTTTGTTGTCTTGTTGATGTTCCCTATTCCCAGTCTTTTCTTCACTCCAGGGTAACATCCAGACAAGACCTATACAGATCAAGAAATCAGTTCACTTCATTCAACTGCATTAACTTTACATGGAAGACATCGGTCTGACTGTAAGTAAATTTAGGGTAAAGATCAAAATTCGTAAAAGGACTTTAACAATCATTTAACTTCAAAATTTACAAAGATTAAGTCTAGTGTTATTTACAGCATCAGTTCAATTATAAATGAAGTGAAAGCAAGGAAGGAAAAGACTGCGACGACACACTCAAAACATAAACAAATCTAAAGGTTAAAGTCAAAATTTCTGTTCTTCATCTGTGGGCACATTAGTAATTCCCATTCCTGTGTCTGAATGTAGAAGTGATACATACAATACAAAGGAGAAGCATCTGGAGGTTAACTGCTACAGAATTCCCACCCTTCCACACAGCTAAAATTCAAAGGGTGGTATCGGTATACAGAACATGTATGCCATAGATGATAAACACACCACAAATTCTAGGTATTACAAATGGCATAAAAACACAAAAGTGAAAAATGAGAGGATCCAAGATGCAAAGTATGGCATACAACTTACCAGCATTCAGAAGGAAGATAGAGGCACAGACGAAGGCCGTTTGATAAAAGCCATCTTCCAACTCCGCCAGGTAGCCACCAACAACAGGCCCCAGAATGAAGCCCACACCAGAGGCTGCATTGAAGCGTCCCATTACTAAAGGGCGGTCTCTCTCAGAAACCAAGTCGGAAAGCAGGGCTTTAGAAATGGAAAGCGTGTGTTTGAAAATACCTGCAACATAATACAAACAAAATAATAGACATGCTCAATCCAAGAAACTGAAAATTACCAAGTTTTCTGAAATATCAATAGTCAAAATCTGATGGATATTTTTGAGATTCCATTAACCACAGATTTTTCAATGCTGAAGTCACGCAGCACATACCGTCATCCTGGCTGTTCAAGGACAACAGCCACAACATAATATTCTGTTGCACAACACAAATATTCTGTTGAAGCAGTCACCTAAAGTTTCAGCCAAATTTTGTAGTATCACTTTGAGGTATATTTTCAGCATGAGACAAATCAATAACATACATCTCATTCCATTCTCCATTGCAAGTGCAGGCCAAGATTTCCAGCAGTGACCTGGTATATTGCGTACCTGCTGTGACTAACTTTACAATAGCCTTTTTCAAGGAAATACTGTGCTCCTGTTGTCATAAAATTCAGCCATTCAAGGTGGCATAAGAGTTATGACAGTTGTTGAGTATACATTTCAGGAAAAAGTGATGAGAAAGTTTAACTTTGTAGAGATTTTTCCATTACTAAGGTTCAGCTGGTGCTGCTGGGTGATGGTGCTATGTAGCTGTCTACATACCATGATTTCTCTAACAGCAACTCTCAAGCTGAAACTACAGGGAATTTAAACTGCAAAATGCCAAGTGTTTACTCACCTACAGGAACTCGGGAAATGGCAAACAGGAACACAGTGGTGGATGTTCCAAGAAGGAAGTAACCCAGTGCACTGAGAAGAATACAAGCAAGGAGGGAATACTGTCTTCCTACTATATCACTCCAGCAGCCCTTTCACAAAGCAAGAAACTAAGATTAGCTTTTTATAACAATCAGTACTTTTAAATTAAACTGAGAAGAGAGATCAAAGGACTGTCAGTGAAAGATTAATGATCTTATTACACAACATTCCTAAGTGCTCAAAATCTGGAAGTCGCAAGCAAAGGTTCTGCCCTGCTGGCAGTGCACCTGCTGAAACTATGATTCTGTTTAACATGATGCACAGAGCTTTTTAAGAAATATTTTTCTCTTTTAAAAATACAGTCCTGCAATAAATACCATGAAATGTTAGCAGTAGGGCCCCCCTGAAAACGTTATCACAACCAACCACAAGTATTTGTTTGCATCATTGGTTACTAGGTACTGGACACTTGTTGAGCATCCTAAAAGGAATGATCTTCACTATGAGGAGTTTGTCATCTCAGCACAGACAGGTAGGAAGTACTTCTGAGAAGTGCAAACAGTAAACTTGCTTTTAGTATACTCATAAATCAGCTCGATTCCAAACAGGAAATAGTTTTTTAAGAAAGTAGGCAATGGTCTTGCAGTTCAAAGAAAATGCCACAACATTATAGAAGCAAATTATCCCAAGCCTGCATAACAAACCCCAAAACAGTTTTTTTTCAAGAGATGCTCAAAATCTGCTCTCTTGAAAGCCAGGAGGTACCAGGGTAATATTAAAGCTGATCCTACCTAAATATAGGGATCTAAGGTATTGATAGGTTCAAGAGGTTCAGCTTTGATATTTAGTCTTTGTCCTCCTTCTTAGATTAGGATGTAAAAAAACCAAAAACTAATTGAAAAACCAAACAAGGATCAAAGATACAACCCATAAACTTAGGCCCTGTGGCAAATTACAAGGCACTACTCATTAAGCAAGGAAAGCAAACTAGATATCAGGCTTATGAAGAAATGACTCAAGAGACTCCTTTTTGGACAGGCTACCACATCAAAAACTGCTTTATTACCACCAACTGTGATGGTAACGTGACTGCAATGTGCTCAGTAATGAATCTGAACCCAAATCTGGATTCTAGTTTTTGTCTAAAGACAGTATCCTCTTTAGTTCTGAAAAATCTGACAATTACTTAAAAACAAAACAAACGTTTTCCACGCAAACTGAAAACCAGATCCTACAACCAAAAATGCTTATATAAACACTAGAAACATTTTCAAAATGTCAAGAAACATTATTATTGGCCTCATCCCTTTTGCTCCCCTAAAATGCATAGAAATACCATCATACTCAGGAATGCAGTGTTAGAACTCACCACAAATGTGCTGGAAAATAGTTGCATTACACCATAGAGAGATCCTAAAGAGAACAAGTAAAATACTAATGTTAAAAATGAAACTTAATCTTTTAAAAATGAAAACTGCACAAAATTTTAAATGAGGAAACATGAGAGAAATTCTGGGAGTAATTTACTAGAAGAATAAGGAGAAGGAGTAAGACGAACCAAGGGTGGAGTTTAGCACATAACCAAGGAAATAGTTTCAGGAATTACAAAAAAACCAAAAAAATTCCAAAAACTTGTGAAACTATGTAATATAGAAGGATGGTGCTTTGTATTGTGTATTAAGCAAAACAGCTCTTGGCGTTTATAATTGCTTTCTCAGAATCAAGAGAGAATTTGAGTACTGGGAGGCACCAATTGCTTTCAACTTGGCACTTCAACGTATTACAAGGCACTACAGAAGCCGTGAAGAAACCACAGACCCTACTTTTTCATTTTAGAGGCTAAGAATTTAGCAGTTGTTAGTGACAGAAGCAGCAAAGAAGCAGAGAGAAACATCTGCCAGTTTATTTCATTTATAAGAATACACCTCAAAACCCAGTTTTTAAAGTTAAAAATCAAAGCAGATTGTTGAAATGAAAACATACTCTGTCAACTCAGACCAGAACTAGAATTATTTCATTAAAAATGTGCTAAATGTCACCCTAAAATATAAAGGTAATAAAAACCTGAGTAACAGAGCCCATGTCAACCACACATAGCTATAAATAATACCATACTTACCTTAACACTTCATTTTTTAAGATAAAACTCAAAGCCTTCAGAATGTACTTGTAAATATTCCTTAAAGACAATAAATATTTGCCAAAATGAATTTAATCAAACTGGGAGCAATCACAGGCTTTGGAAAGCTCAGGAGAACCAGCCGCAAAAGTACTGTTTGCGAGGCCTGTAAATAACAATAAAACTAAAAGCAACACTTCTGGCTCCCAAAGCTGCTGCACTGTGAATTCTTGGATGCTGGAAAAGCATGTGTACAGGTACTACTGCAAGACCTTCTTGTTCTTTCCAGGAGTGCTCTTTCCCAAGCACCTGCTTTTGGCTACTGTCAGAATACAAATTGGACAGGTCTTTGGACAGTACAATTAAATTACAATTTAACTTGGAAATCGGCTTTACTTTCTGTTATGGTACTAGCAAGGAAGGAAGAATTATGTTGCAATGTCCACTTTGCAGTACGGCATAACCCAATTCACTGTATCTTATTCTCCGGTAAATTAGTGGAGTACTGCAACTCACCTATTATTCCAGCGACTGTATGACTTGCTCCTAGAGATTTGATATGAAGATTCATTAAAGGAACAACCATGCTCACACCAAATAAATCCTAAAAGGAGGCAGGAAACGTTTTAATAACTAATCACTTTTACAATAATGATGGCAATCTGGCTTAGTAACAGTCAATATTAAAAAAAAAAAAAAAAATCAGTTCCATATCCATACAGGATTAAAAGAAAATTTTTAATGGCTGCTGTGGTTATGCTGTAACCTCTACAAGGCATCCAGTATTTACAAAATTACAAAAACATATAAACTGAAAGCTAAATGATTGCCTCACAGAGGCATTTAAAAACTACGAAAACAGCAATCCTCTTCCCCCTTTGGATACAATTGTTCTGAAGAGATATATTTAAACATTAAATATCCCTATAACATATATTAAACTTTATCAGTTTAACAAGAAAAATACTTGGTACTAGTATTTTAATATTTTAATGACTGGTCTGTAATCTCAGTCACCTACAAATACTTTTTACTTATTCAAAGAGAGTATATTTGGAAAATCTACAGTATTTTAAATCTCAACCACAATGGGGAAGAAGCTATGGTAGATCTAAACCTACCTACAGACTGCCTTTGCGTATAACTTAAGGAATGTAGTGAAAAGTCAGAAACATGAAAAAAAAAAAGAAAAAAAGGAAAAAAGCAAAGCATATGTCAAAACCTTTTTGTAAGAGCTAGGCAAAGGACACTGCCCATCCTGAAAACTACAAGGATCTCTTACTCATTCCTTTTGATTTTTTATGTTTTGTTAAGCTAACCACATTGACCTAGCAGTTCTTTCATTACTACTATCTGGCACAGCGTAACAGTGTCCTATATCAGAGCAGAGCCTTACAGCAGATCTACTGAAGCAAGATCACCTTTTATGAGTGACTGCTTGAGCTGAACTAGACTTGCCCTTCACAGTACACCCAAAGCCTGAATAACTGTAACTGTTCTCGCAGTCTGTCATTAAGTATCTTTTGATGGTTGAAATTGAGACTTACAAAGTTAGTATCATTACTAAATACATTAGCATGAGCAAGACATTGAAAGGGACAAGTCTCTGAATATACCCTGGCTGTACTGGACTCGCCATAGGCATGCAGATAGAGCAAGATCCATTAATCCCTATCCTCTGATGGGTAATTATTTCTCATTTCACTTAAAATTTCTTATGTCAAATGCTAAAAACTCTGTAGTTGCCTGGTTACAGGAAGCTTGCATCACAGGCAACATTATTATGTTATTTCACCACACTCCACACTCTCTAAAAGGGCCACTTCTTGGTTGACTTCAGCGTGTACTCCAGCTCGGTGTCGGCAAGGTATTATAGTGCTGGAGAACCACAGGGTTTAAAAGTCAGCTAAGACGCAAAGCTTGTCCAAACACCTTGTCCTGGAATATTAGCTCCAGAACCCAAATCAACAAGATTGTTTCTACTGCCCAACCTAAAGGTAGGCAAAATTATATAGCTATATTTCACAGTGCAAACTTGTACTCGGTTTGTATACATTTTCCGAGTTATCCCTTTTAATTAAATGACATTTTCCCAAGGCTCATGAATCACTACAGCCCGACCTTGGGCTATGCAGCCTCTCCTGACAACCCTGAGGGGACCCCACGGCTCCGCAG